GTAATCTAAAATCTGACAGTATTCAGGCACTGTTCTCTTTTTCCCAGCACTTTATAAAAGACCAGTCAGCAAAGCCAATCCTCTGTTTTCTGATATTTTTTTCTAGCTTTGATGCCACAGTTGAGTAACTCCAAAAATGTTACAAGGAATTTAGGTGTACAATCTCTATTTCTGGAACTTAGGTTCCTTCACAGTATTGCTCTATACATTGCCAGTATTTTCAGTATAATATGTAAGTCTTGTTTTAATGAGTTCCATCTTATCATCAGTTCCATTCATCTTACTGCATTTCTACTATCATTTCTTTTTATTTGGGTTTTAGGTATACAGTACACATACAGTACATAGTACCACACAATTGCCATTGCAGTCCAGATATACTAAATGTGCAACTAATTCCTAACTAGGTATGTTGTTTGATTACAGTTAAAGCATTTCTATTTATCCCACTCACATCTCTTGTTTAGATCCAGCCCACTGCAGTCATGCTGCTGAAATTCTGAAGGAAAAAGAATACAGTACTGCAATCAATACTAGAATTGTTGGTCTTTTTATAAAAGCTCCATATTCTCAAGAAAAAATAGGTTAAAATGATTTCCCTGTACCATAATAACATGTATTGCTTCACTGCCATATTATTTGCAGCTACTGAAGGACAAAAATGCTGTTGAAATTGCCATTCCTGAGTGAGAGAAGCACTAGGATTGGGAAAACATGTTGGAAACTGACAAAATCCTCTTTGATATTGTGGAGAAGCAAGATGGGAAAGGGAAAATAGTAAGACAAGATCCTAGAAAGGCCAATTTTGGGCTTAGACCAGGGGTGTCAATCAGGGGTGAGAATCACAATGAATATTCAGTTTCTGCCTTGATAATTATATAATCTGTGATTCTTTTAATATATATTTTAGGTACACATCAGATAAGTTTTGATTATTCATATTACCTTTCTGTAACTGGGAGCACTAGTCAGACAAGGATGCATTATGTAGTTTTATTATAGAATGGTTCTTTATGACATCACAATTTTAAAACTGACTCCATGCTGCAATGGCAAAAGCTGTTGAATGAGCATCATGAGCCAGACAAAGTCATTTCCTTTTTTAGTAGTTTATGCTTACCATGGAGAATTTACATGTTTCTAATACCCTTAATATAGGGTATGTCTTTTTCTTCACAAATATTTACAATATTTTTATGATTCCAAAAAGTTTGGTTTAAATTTGAATATATAATGTGGATGTCAGCTTTTTTACGTAAGTATTGCTTCTGCTCTCCCCTTTGTCTGCATCCAATATTTTCTACATTAGGGGATTTTGGAATAAAGTTGTTTTTGTGGGAAGGATGGCATATCTTCATGAAAGAATTGGGTTACTGATGCTAAGACCAGTATTAATATTAAAGCTGAGACACTGGTATGGAGCTGTGTTTTCATGGCAGATCTTTTTTTTAACCATGACTGAAAACATTGTGTTAATGGTCCATTTATAAACTGAGACTGAAATAGTGTACTTGCTGATAATGATGGTTATAACTGATTTTCCTGGTTTGGCTGCTTCAGGTATCACATGATCAATTAAAGACCAATATTTACATTTAAAAATATGAAAAATAACAATTTTTATGTGGAAGTGTATTACATTCCTCTTATATTTTACTAAGAGAATAATTTTATTTATTTATATAAAACTTTCCATTTCAAGCATTTTTTAAAAGTTAATAAATTGATTTTTAATATACAATAGCAGTTGTACTGTATCTGTATCATCTGCAGACTGGCTTTTATGAACGCCCACCTTTTACCAGGTTATCTGCTTTCTTTTGGCAGTATGTCAAAGAGTGGTCTTTGATTCTTGTGGATTCCTTATGTCCAGGAACTTCATTGATATTTTAAACAAATGACACTTAGGTCATTTGATCAGACAACTGAGTGGATCCTAAAAGGACTCTTCAGGTGTGATGATGCCTATTTTATCGTTAAATTGTTAGTATTTGCTTTCTGACAACCTGTTTCCATGGCTTCTATTGGAACAATTACCATTCCTGTCAAAATGAGAACTGCTACTGCCAGAGTTTCCATCAGTTCCACCAGCTGCAGCGTGACCTGTGGCATGGGTTACAAAGTTGAAGAATCATGTCAGATTGGGCCTAATGGTGAAAGAAGATACTGTGATATTCAAAAAGTGGAGTGCTTGACCAACTGGCTCTGTGGGATGCTCCATTTCACTATTCTTGTAGGTAAGCCTTTTGAATTCCAGTGCTTGTCTCCTACAGAAATTGGCCCAGAAATCAACAGCTTCAGTTATTCATGGAGGATAGCCAGAGGCATCATTACCACTGATGATGCTCTCTTTAAACCATTCAAGACTACTGGCTTTGTCATTAAGCTTTCCCCAGCCAAGGAATACGATGCAGGGACATACCGGTGTGATGTACAGTTCATGAGAACCTATAAGATTGTCAAAAGAATCTACTTTGGAATTCGTGTGATCCCTGGTCACTTGGTGGATCTAAACTTTGACAAATCCTTGACTCTGGAACAGCACTTGGCAAGTGAGAAGGAAAAAACCCAGCAGAATGCCACCAGTGTTCCTGTCCCGAAGCAGCAGCACTTTTGGCGCCAAAGAACTCTTTTTGTATTTTTAATAGGCATTGGAAGCGGTGTGGTAGGAGGAATCTTGTTGCACATTTTCTACTATTTAGTGAAGGTTCCCAATAATTATGGCTATGTGGAGGAATAAAATGTTCTTGTCTTGCTGTATGCTGATTGCTGTATTTAATCATTTTGCTGTATTGTTTATGGTTATGAAGATTATGTTGTGAAATCACATGGTTTCACTTAATTTATTTAAAAATCAATAACATATCTTATTCCTTAATTATATTTCATAAAACTTTAAAGACAGTACAAAACATGTAAATCAGTACATCTTTGGATGTGAGTTCAGTCAGTACATGCTTTCCATATAGGAAATCCTAATTTCAGTTTTCAGGGCCAGAATCCCTACAACACTGGAAGATCTTCTAAGTCAACATAGATCAGTTTTTTTTATATCTTGAGACCACAAATCTCAGAATTCCTAGCAGTTTAGTCAACAACTAGGTTCAGTAGGAAAGGTAATCTCACCCAGTTGGGAAGAACAGTGTGAGCTAGAGATGAGCATTGAAGATGAGATTGAAACAAGCCATTTCACATTCTAATGCAGCATTTCTCAGATTTGGCAACTTAAGACATGTGGATTTCAATTCCCAGAATTCTCCAACAGATAAAGTAAGAGAGGAGAGAGGTGCATTCACACAGGCAAGATTCTGTTATTGTAACCTCATAATAAACATAATATTCATCACTTCGGTTTCCTAAGCTGGTTTAGGACTGACATCAAACTTACAAATCCCTCCCTTTATTTTCTGGATTGCCGAAGAGTCAAATCCAAGATCGTTTCTCTAATTACATTTCTGTCTTGAACTCAGATTTCTTTAATCGGACCGTTGTCTTGGTTGTACTCTTGCTACTGTTCCTCAAGGTTATTCTTACTGTCCTCACTGTTGTTTTAAATGTTCAGTTACTGAATCTATGCCTTTTCCTTGCCTGCCTGAACTTTGTTAATGACAGCAGAGCCACAATAAGCACCTGTGGCCTCCAAGCATAATAATACTGTTCAATGATAATGTTATGCCCCAAGCATCAACAAGAGTCCAGTTAAACATATGAATCAGTTGGGATACAGCATTCATTAGCTCCTGATCTACCTTTCCAAGATATTTTGATCACCAGTATTGAAATTCAGCTTCTAGTGTGGTCTTGTTATGCAGATTTTTATATGAGGAAAGATACATACACACACACACACATATACACACACACACACACACTATATCTATATATCTATTTCTATCTATCTATCTATCTATGTACATACATACATATATATACACATACATATATATACACAGATACATATACATATACACACATACATGTATGTGTATGTATGTAGGTATACATATATAAAATATTGAAAGTTTTTAACTACAATAAGCAAAACAAACTATGGTAGAACAAAAAAGAAAAGTGCAAAAAGAAAAAATAGAATAAAAGTAGACAGAGAAAAAAGACAAAGAAAGATATAAAGAAGAGCTTCCAATCTTCACAGCAGTTATAAATACAATTATAACCTCTCTAAGTTTACATCATGATTCTTCTAGAATCTAAGCTGCAATGATTGAAAATAATTTTTCCAATGATTTCTTAATTTTAAAAAATGTCTTGATATTGCATCTTTCATTTGAAATCATAAGAATGAGAACTGGGGAATGTGAACTAACAGATTTACTTGACATCCGAAGTGAAACAAGCACTCTTTATTTTCTTGTCAATTTTGGGATTTGTAAAATGCACACAGCCAACCCTGAGCTTCAGACTGAAGGCTTTTTAAAGGCTTGATTAAGTAAGAATAGAAAAGCAGAGCATTACTTGTAATCCCCTGTATTAATGTATACATAAGTCATAAATCATTTCAAAATGGGCACAAAGATAGGAAACATTTAGCAATTTAAACCCTGAGATTAGAAAGAAGAAAGGGAAATAGGTAGCTGCCCCATGTAATACCTGAGAAGGTGGGCAATTGAAGCCAAGTTATTCCATTTCCATCATCTATTCAAATTGTGCTTCTATTTCTTAAAAATAAAAATTACATTTGGAGAAATTTGCTAGAGTGTTTGTAGAATTTTATTTAAGAACTGGGTGCTACAACATCAGAAGATAATATAGTTTACTTAAAATGCTTATTCCCTTTTGTTCACTTTAAAAAAATAGCATTCATCAAAATTACTGGTTAAATATTGTTCCATATTTGAAGAAATTAGTAGAGGAGTTAAGTTAAAAACAAGGGATGTTCCTAACCTGAAGTTGGCAATGGCAGGATACTGTTTGGGAGTAGTGTCAAATCAGATTCATAATTAAATCAGCTCTTTATAGACTTTGTGGTAGCTACTGAAACTTTGTAGAACACTACATTTATCTTATGTCCAATTAATGGTCACATGGGAGAACAAATGAGTGAGGAAAGATGCCTTTTTTCAATATATAGTATTTGACCAGCAAAGCACACATCTATATTGTATGATATGGTCTCTAAACAAGGGTGAGCATATGGCAGGAATATTTTGGAGCCCTATCCAGTTATTCAAAATTTGGAAGGACTAAGAGCAACAGGCATAGGCGATGTTCTCCTTCTAGCTGTAGCTTCCATTATTTAGGTACAAGATCTAAGAAAAAGTAGATTTGGGTTGAGTTTGGACACTGAACTCTGGTGGTCAGGAGTCCTACCCTTTCAGTATTCCCTATTGCTAGGAATAATTCTGTGACAGAATTAAATAGAAAATGGATGCAAATTTCCTTTAAGCATGTAAGTTATAATGGCATGGACATCCCCGTTCTCTGTACTTAAAAATGTTGGTCTGAAGAATACTTTTATCTTTACTAAAACCATGAGATTTTCCAATAAAGCAACACTTTTCCTCTGTCCATTCCTGCTGTAAAGGATAGATTTAGGTATATGTACAGGCTTCTTCAGTATCTTTTAAATTTTCTAATGGGCACTGAATTGCTTCCTAAATTAGAACAAAAGGTTCCCATAAAGTAGTTTACTGTACATATCAGAAGTATTAATTACATTCTTTAAAATAGTTGAAAAATTTCTTAACAACCAGCAGTGGACAACAATATTAAAAGAAGGTGGGCAAAATATAATTCTAGTTTTTAAAGAATAGAAATAGCTGTTGTGGCTGAATGTTGAATCGTGGCAACTGGACTTCTTTTCTTTCTGGGTTTGAAACCTTTTGCTGCTTATCCAAGTGGCTTTTTCAGTATGAGCAAGATGGTTAGGGAAACCCCATATACTGTATGTCTTCCAGGCTGGTTTCATTTCTCAGCTAATCTGAATAGGCTCGTTAGGTGAGCAGGCAAAGAGTCATTAAGAGTCTTTGCTCCTAAATCCTTCTCTTAGGTGGGTCATTAAGTGTAATCTCCCTGGTGAACCTGTGAAGCGATCTATTCTAGATCTTCCTGGGGACTGATGAAAGAGCAGCATAAAAAATGGGGGAGGGACAGGTTGTGTCTGAGACCTCCACTAGAGGTGCTCTTGCATCAGATCACTTCACAGGTTACCAGTGAGGTCTCACTTAGCCACCCACCTAAGAGAAGGATTTAGGAACAAGAACTCTTAATGACACTTTGCCTATTCACCTAATGAGCTTATTCATATTAGGTGAGAAATGAAACCACCTTGGAGGACATATATGAAATCCTCCTAACCAATTTGCTCAGTCTGAAGAAGCTACTAAGATAAGCAGCAAAACATTTCAAACCAGAAAAGAAAAGAAGTCCAGTTGCTCAACTTCCAGATAACTCTACCTAGATGATTGAGAACCTTCACCGAAATAAGCGTTGTGGTACATAAACATCAAAACTAAAAAAAAACCCATACAAAACAATGCTTGATAAACCGAATAACATTAAACTTATTATAAAAACTCCAGTTCATCAAATTCTGCACTACTGACAAACATGAAGTGGATGAGATTGTAATGGAGTGAGATTGCCGCATTTTCTTAAAAACACATTTCTGATAAAATTCAATCAAAGTCAGTCTTATTTGATTAGAGTATGTTCATGTCTTTCAAAAAGGGATTTTAGCCTTGGCCACAATCATATGGGGTGGCGCGGGTGGCTCAGCAGTTAACACACTGGGCTTGTCAGCTGGAAAGCCGGCAGCCCAATTCCGAGATCCAAGCACCATGCAATGGGGTGAGCTCCTGTCCTCACCCCAGCTCCTGCCAACCTAGCAGTTTGAAAGCATGCAAATGCAAGTAGATAAATAGGTACTTCAGTGGGAAGGTAATAGTGCTCTGAAATGTCATGTTGTCCACATGACCGCAGAAATGTCTTTGGACAGTGCTGGCTCAATGGCCTTGAAACAGAGATGAGCACCGCCCCCTATAATCAACAATGATTAACAGAGTAAAATCCATAGGGACTCCTTTACCTTTACCTTTTACAATCATATAATTAAAGGTTACATTTAGGACCATGGTTAGGACAGTTTGGATCTTCTCCTGAGGATGGGAGAGATGTCTCTCTTATATAATCCCATTCTTGAATTTCTCTAGAAATCTCTTCCATATTTGAAAAGATGGAGAGCGGGATGAGATTTCAAATGTAGCCTTATGTCATGAATGGATATATATGCCAACCTTCCCCAAGATGGGTGCCCTCCAGGCATGTAGTTGTTACTTTAGAAATTGCTGAGTAACCATGGCCATTGCTGAAAATTACAGGAGTCAAATACCATACCTCTGGAGATTATCCATATTGGGAAAAATAGATATATTTATTTATTTAGTAAATATATATGCCACCGATCTCACTGCTAAAGTGGCTTACAAAATTATTTTTTTCCATTCGTGCAATAGAGTAGAAATTGTTCAAATGGTATGGGATAGCGAGGTGCCAAGATAAGAATGGAGGAAAAATCATGCCTTCCTTCAAGATGCCTTTGAATAGAGAAATTTGTCTACCTTTGGATTTCCTTGCTACTTATAGTCAGCTTATAGGAACTCCAATGCAAAAAAAACAAGAAAAAAACCCTGTAAGAACCCTTACAAATCTGCTAATCTCTAAGAAATGTATGAAAGGCCTACTTGTCTTTGGCTTAAAATACACTGATACAGCTTAAAATCT